TAGCAGTAAAACTCACCCTTAAGAAATACTCACAGAAATATACAACGTAGTTATTGTGTGATGACAAACGACCAATTCCCGGAAGAGTTCCACTCTTGTGCAGTCTATCCTTCTCCAAGGGTGGATAGAGACTGGGGGATCAGGCACTGAAAAGGTATGACAAAGCACCGTGTCAATGTTTCAGACCCAACCAAATGTCCCATACGAAGGGCATGACCAGCCTGGGGAATCGCTAACAAACCTGAAAGGGAAGAAAAACGACAATGAAGACAGTATCTGACTTCCCGACTGACTGTGGGCTCAACAAGGGAAGCGCAAGTGTCGAAGGTGGTCGCAGTGTTAGACATTTGTCTTTCTGGTACCATTTTAGCTTCACAATGGGGGAAACGACTCCTTACTACGATTTTCTAATAGTGCCAACCATGTGTTGTATGAAAAGTCAAGCGAGTTAAAGTATAGCAATGACCTTGTCAAAGAACTTGAAAGAAACCCAAGGGATTGGACATCCCCGGAGGGCTGATGCTTTGTCATATTGAGGCCCACATGCCACTGGGTAATGTTAAATGATAGATTGTGCTTTTAACAGCATGAACCCAGACCCCAATGGAAAAGCATTTCTAGAGTTCTTTTAAAAAACTCGCATTCAGCGTTCACAAGGCAAAGATACAAAGAGGTTTATTTGCGGAGAGGAGGGCACAACCTTTGAGCTTTGAGGTTTGCCAAGATTGTCCCTAGATGTAGATGTTCACAAGGGAAAATGCATTGTGGTTTTTCATCTTCTTTGATGGATGGTATTTGAATCGACTTTGAAACTCAGCCAAGCAAAACTGATTGTATCCCTGCCCCCCTAAGCTTAAAAGCATCTCTTAACATATTCAGATTTGATGAATACTCTGGGACTAGAGGGAAAAGTCTGAAAATTGAGAGGGGCAACATTTATAATGAACATTGACATATACCCCCTTTCCGACCTATTAAGTTAATTCACATGAGGTGCAGCTTGCTGATTACATATGCCATCCCATGTACACCGTAATTCATCAGCATATTCACATTTCAATAGTTAAGTGGGTAAAAACGAAGATCGTAAATTCTCATATCTAATTTCACAGTGGTAGATTATTTGTTCATTCACATTGTTTATCATCTAATGTTAGTGTTTATATCTTTAACTACACTCAAATACATGCATTTACTTATTTTTCCTTTTATAGAATATAGAATATAGAACTTTATTGACACAACAAAAGTACATTAAATTTATCTATATAAAACACGGCCCATATTTAGTTATTTTCCCTGCATATATGTACCCATTCGTGGTGTTCTATTTTTATATTTCTCTTCGTTTGTTTATCATCTAATAATAAACAAACAACCGTGTTCAGTAACTTTTCACACTATGTTAATTTAACGTGTTGTACGGTTGTGCGTTTGTGTGTGGGATCGGAAAATACGATAGAATATTGATACAAGTGAGTTGTAAGTCTACACTAATGTTTTGGGTCTGTAGGATAGCTTGAGGTACAAAATATATATCCTTATATACTAACAATCGATGAAACAATTAGTGGCAAAAGTACGATTGATAACGTCCAATTAAAATCGTTTTAAAGGCTTATATTGTACATCTGTAGATCTCAGCTTAATCTCATTTACAAGCACGCAATAAATAATGGTTACTGTAAAGTGGATTTAAAATATGCTGATGCTTGGAGAAAGTGGTAAAACCGCAATTTCATGGATTACTGAAACCCATGAGTCCTATAAAATCTGCAAATGTCAATGTTACTGTCTCGTGTTGAAAGCCAGTTTTATTAGTCTAAATGTGAAAAGTCAGCGGGTTAAAACTTGTATCTTCTCTAATGACATATACAAATAAAACTATATCGGATCCACTCATTTAAAACAGCTCAACCTGCTATACCATTCTATCAGTCAATCATGTTCTTCCCCATGCACACCATATGGTGTATAGGGTGGTGCCTATCTCCACTTCTGTAGCCCCTGGGCCACACAGCTGTGCAGCCTCGTCTACTGTTGGTACTGTGTGCCCTATACCCTTTTCCAGTGCTGGGTGCTAAGCAGAGAAAGCACGTGCACCAGTTCAAAAGTATTTTCTATTCCTACCAAGTTCTAAGCAAATGCTCTACCTACTAAGGCATTGTAGTAGCCAATTGGGATAGAAATAAAGACATATACGTTTATTTCTATATTCTTTGTGAAAAACCGAAGAACAACAAGCCCAGACAATATATTATATCTCCTCAGGGAAGTAATAACTGCCCTTAGAAAGTTTCCAATGATGTTATTTTTATTGATGAACTCGCAGAGTGGGGTTCAGTTTTACGTTTGATTTATTGGGATAGAAATAACGATATATACGTTTAAATCTATATTCTTTGTCAAGAACAGAAGAACAACAAGCACAGTCAGTTATTTTATCTCCTCAGTGAAGTCATAACTGCCCTTAGAAAGTTTCCGATGATGTTCTTTTTATTGATGAACTCGCAGAGTGGGGTTCAGTTTTACGTTTGATTTATTGCATTATGTGGAGTAGTGTAAGCCCACAATTATCCCTAAAAGTGGGCAGAGCTTAGGATAGAGTGGGCAGGAGAAGCACCAAGTATTCCAACTATATTCGTCACGCAGTGGAAACAGAAGATAGGTGATATGTCAGTCTCTTCGACGGAAGCAGCGAGGCAAATGAATTATCGTGCACGCAGCCAAAGTTTTTACCACTGCCATAAGGAAAATCAATGCGCCGACTGAGTGGCAAAGTGAAGGACCTTAAACGTGTCCAGAGTTCTGAGAGAGGAAGTAAAACAAGCTTTCTACTCTGAATTTTACGGCGAGACAGATCCTTGCGCTCGTAAAAATGCCATCCAGTGTGTCGCAGCGGGCAATAAAGAGATAAAAGCAAGTTTAATGACACCAAAATGACAAACGAACGGTGCTCAAAACCTCCGGATCATCTTTTAAAAACCCTTGCGAGTACTCAGCCAAGGGTGAGCAGCCTTGGAAGATTTCCAAAGACACTCATACCACGATCCTTGTTGGGGATACATTAAATCAACTTTACAACTACAAAAATCCAAACGAAAGACTCCCCAGGCGCTACTCAATTCTGGTAAGATTCAGCAACGGACACGAAGTATTACCTAGCGTACTGCAGGTCAAATTTAACGGCGACAAAGAATACAGTTAGGAATATCGGTGAAACGAACGCATAAGATTGAATTTCAAAGGCGTGGTGCTCCATAGAATTAGAAGCACTCTTTCTACTCAACTCTAGTAACCTTCAGCAAAGGACATTTAGTATTTATACCAGCGTCCTGCAGGTCACATTTTACAGGGTGAATAACACGTAGGAACAACGCTGAAGGAAACATACGCATCCACTTAGAACTGAATTGCAAAGCTAAAGGCGTGGGCCTCCCCACTGGCATTTCTGGAAACCATTTTCTCTGTTGATTTACGATTAGTGTTGTCTCAGTTACCCCCTTTACGTCCTTCAACTTGATTCTGATTATATTTGGCTCGAGGTACAATATCAGTTTGTTTCTCATATTAGATTAGACATCAACACCAATCCTAGAGTCTATTTACTTAAAAGCAAGGCCGTATCAGTTATTACTCACATTGGTCTTCAACTAATTTTGTCTTGGTTCAAAACTAGTTAGCATCTTATGAGTAACATTTACATGATTTTCATCTAATTTTGTCTTGGTTTAAAACTATTTCGCATGTTATGAGTAACATTTACATAATGATGGTTTTCATCTAATTTTGTCTTGTTCAAAACTAGTTCTTGTGAGGAACAGTTACATGGTTTTCATCTAATTTTGTCTTGGTTCAAAACTAGTTCACATCTTATATTACATTATATATGATTATGTTTGCCGAAGGGAAACATATTGTTTTGCTACGTTTCCTCTTCTTCCGTTCCAAACACTGACCAATGACCTGAGTTGTTGACGTCTCTCACCATGGTGACTGATGTTGGGTTACATAATGTTGCAATTTTATAGTAGGAGGGATTTATACTCCTGTCTGACCATATATATGAATGTATCTGAGTAAAAATTAACAGAGGAGACTATATCCGAAGATAAACATCAGGCATTTGCTTTGCAAATGTTACCTTTCTAGTTTAATGTGAGAATTTCCGCGAAGACGACAAAAATCGATGGCCCATAACCACTATTACTAAGCTCCACGTTGCTGCAGTAGCCTCACGTGTTGACCCGTTTTATAAGTAGCTCTAGAGGGCGATACCTCAGAGAGAATGAACCTTGAGTGATTTCTTCAATAAATTTCATCAGTTTATTACTCATCGACCCAAGAGCTATACACTCACGAGAAACTACTTCATCCTCTTAACACGGTACAGAAGAACACTTAAGACACTTCTATATCGATCCATCCAAATGGAGAATCTTACTTCCCTCAAGTCCCAAAGTAAAAATAAGTTTCATCATTTATTCACGTATGCAAAGCTCCGGGCTTTTTGGATAGGTTTGATTGATTTGTTTTTATCCAATGCCAAAGAGATACCGGTTACCCTATCTATTTTCATCCCCAACCTTTTATCAGTACTACCCAGTTGCAGTTGCAGTCTATCTTTTAAGCTAAGGCGCACGTACAGCATCTTCACTAGCCTGGGTACCATCCGGATTTTGCAAAATCCGGAGCAGAATCCGGATGGTGCCCAGGCTACATCTCCACAGGCTTTAATGGATGTTAACTTTGTAATCTTGACCTTCAAGTCATCCATTGATTGGTGCATTTGTTCACCACAAATAAAAGTTTTCTCGCACAACTATAGTTTTGGCAGTCCTCCTGCTGGTCTGCCTTGCTCGGGGCAATAATTGTTGATTCTACTTCTCGCCGCTAGGCGGCGCAGCAGTGGGGAGAATGCTGTCCCAAACGTGACTAAACTTGTATCCCCCTTCCATCACAGTTCATCGACTTACAAACTATTTGTTGCTATTTTTCAGGAGGAGCCTTTTGTCATGAAACGCGAGAACAAAGACGGCACGTACAAGTACAGCGGCTTCTGCATCGACATCCTGAACGAGCTGGCCAAGAACCTGGGGTTCACGTACCAGCTCTACGAAGTGCCTGACCACAAGTTTGGCGCTCCGGAAGGAAACGGGTCTCATTGGAACGGCATGGTCGGGGAGGTCATGTACAACGTGAGCAACAAAGTGACATTTGGATATTTTTGTCATCGAGTTATACATGTCTTCCTTTCCTTTCGTTACATGTGATATAAACATCCATTTTCCCTATAGGCTACAGAAGCTTAGTTTTTAAGATTCCTTATTGAAGTGCGAAAACTTACGAATATTTCAGTATTACCTATGCAGCATAAAGCCAAACTGTCTTAGTACCTCATATTTTTTGCTCTTGAGACATCTTCATTGATGTCGATTCAAACATTTCTTCCTTTCCTTCAGCTACATGTACATGTGATTCAGGTAGAGAGATTGAGGGATCAGTTTTACGACTCTTACGTAACACAGTCCACTAAGCTTCTGCTATTACATAAGGGGCTCTGATTAGATTTCGGTCATCAGCAAGCAATCAGGGCTCACACAGCTATCAGAAAACTAACTACGTGTAGTTTTAGAATACTTGGTGAGTCTGCAATTTACAGGCCGTAACATATATCTTTTGCCCCTTCCCAGAGAGCAGATATAGCCATCGGACCGCTCACTATCAGCGCTATCAGAGAGCGTGTGGTGGACTTCACACACCCCTTCATGGACCATGGTGTCGGTATGGTCTCCAAGAAACCTGAGCCGAAGGGCAGCGGCATCTTTGGGTTCCTCCTGCCGTTCGACAGCAGCGTGTGGTTCTCTATTCTCGGGGCACTGATCGGAGTTGCCTTGCTGTTGTTTATCACAAGTAAAATCAGGTAGGTGGAGATTTTTGGCGACGTCTCAGGGAGGAGCCTAATGGTACAGTATTATGTACAGTTTGCAAGGATTCTAGGAATTGTACAGGAATTTTGTCCACAGGCATGGAATGTCCACAGGAATGTCTACCCGGCTCTGTTTACTGACACACATCTATCATGACTATGACCACATTCCTGGAAACCCTTGGGAAAACCTGGATGCCCTACTTTCTGTGACCCCGGGGCTCATTCACTATACACTCAGGGGAGGAGAGCACTGTATCTATCTAGACTTAACAGGTACCAAGGCTTCCTCAAAATCATGAAATCATGGTAGTGCCATGCAAACAATAACCCTAACAGCAACCACCGTCACCATGGCAATGTATGTTTTCATTGCCAGTCTTGTTATGTTTTCATAGCAGACAAGACAAGACAAAATAAATAACGACAGTTATTGTTACTGTAGCAACAAAATGGCAGCTAAATGATGTAAAACACCAATTAGTAAATTACGTATGGCATAGAGATGAAATTACCATTAACTCACTCACTCACTCATCCCCACACTCATTCACTTATTCTTGTACTTTAGCTAGAACTTCTCTGAAACTCTACCATACTTTTTCATGACCTGCCAAATCGACGGAAAAAAGTTGATTCTAAAACAAGTGACCGATTTTCCATACACTCCACCCTTCTTTTGTCCAAACTACAATGCTGATGTTTCTAAATCAATAGACGCTTTCTGTTGGCAATTGACCCCTAAGGGAAGGTCGTGTAAACGTGTAATTGTATATCGTATATCGATTCGTGTAAATGTCAATACGTCACGAACTGTGGGGTCCCTCTCTGTGCAATGGTCATTGTTGCGTGTCCCCTTTGTTTACCGATGGTCCAGTCCAAGACCTAGGAAAAAATGTTGTCTTTCTTGTTTTAGTCCTGAAAAAATTAGGGCCGGTAGGTAGGGATTATCTTTTGTTTCTTTACTAGATTTCAGCGACCACTTCTGATCTAAACCGATTGTATAACGTTTCTGTATCTGTATCTGTAAAGCCGGTATAACTGCCCTTCGGCGTAACACTCCAGCTTCGCAGGTACGCGGCGCGGTGGCAGCTGGCTACATTACACCGAACGACTTGTTCCACCTAACCCTTGAACATCTGACTCTCAACATTGTTTAAGCAATAACTCAGATGTCAGATCATGGAGCTAGAAAAGGCTGTTAAGCTTAAAACGTTATCTACCTTGGGGTCCACCCAAAAAGTTTATTGTAGGGGCGGTCATGGAACAGGAAACACAACAGGTTTTTCCCATGCCCAACGAAACTGTGCATTTGTCTCAGAGACTTTTGCGCAAGCTAGTTGATCTGCATAAAGTATTACTACTAGCAAACAGCATATGGATCAACGGCGCCACCTAGACAATTGCTGCTGTTTCATCAGACGATGCTTATTAGAAAGCTCTTAAATATAAATATCTGAGGAGATATTTACGTGACAGGAATGGTGTATCAACGCCAGGGCAGATATATCAAGACATCCTTTCCAAATTAGTGATAATGTCTCATTCATAAGGACAAATTTCCGAGTCATGAAACCACATAAAACTAAGCTAGACAGATGCCTGGGAAAACCTTGGCTTACTTAGAAAGACATTGATCAGTGACAGTTTCTTCAAGACTTACAGTGCCTGACGCAGATGTTTGCTACCATCAAACGTCAATCTCACCATCTGTTGATATATGCTTGAGTACAATTCATAGATCCCTATTGGAAACGTAACACTGGTGTTCCACCAGAGGCCTAGGCAAATTGAGGCAGAATGCTCAAGGGTTGACATCAAGGCCCTGGCCAAACGTGTGTGTAATGGTTTTCGACTCCCAAAGTATGATGAAGTTCCAAAGCCAATTATTCCTATCAACAATCAGCGGGCCTTTTCAATGTTGTACTTTGTATTGTGTAACCTATAACTTGAATTAAAAGCTGTGCGTAAAACATATCTTCAAGTTTGAAAGACTCAAAGGCGTGGGGAAAGTCTATTTCTTTACGAACTATGCTATTACTATAGTCTATGCCCCCTGTATTATGGTACGCTCCAAAAAGTGGTCGGTTATTCTAATAACCGACCACTTTTTAGGTTACGGCCTGATAATCAATGGGAAATGGAGAATTCTGATTAGTTGACGCCCTCTGGCTATATGATAATATACTTTTATGTCATTCTATGTGAAACAGAGCTGCAAAAGCCTGCTTTTAACCAGCCTGAATCTATTTCAGACATAAGATGCGAGCTGGTGATGTGAACTACGACAACGACGAAAAGTTTGACCTGAAGAACAGTCTGTGGCTAACGTACTGGTCCATAGTCAGGAAAGGTACGTTTTCATCATGTTCATCTTCGCAAAGGGAAACATATTGTTTTTACTCAGTTTATTTTTCTTCCTCCTCCTTCTCTTATTCTGCAAACAAACACGTCAATGACCTGCACTTGACGTCGGTAACCATGGTAACTGGTGATATAGCAGACACCCTGTGGTATTGGGTTACATTATGTAGCAGCAAAGATTTAGAGGGGCTTTGTTTGTTCGGCTTTGTAGTTTGTGAAGGTAAACATTATGCATTTGCCCTGTTTCTTCTTTCTCTTCTTTTCCAAACAAATAAGGTCAAGGACCTGAACCAGATGTCTGTCACCATGGTAACCGGTGTTGGGTTACATAATGTTGCAAGTGCCATGCAGAACTGAGTTCAATAGGGGTTTCATGGTCACCATTTATGTATACATGAGTGTGCTTGAGTAAGCAAAGCAGTATTGAAGTTTAACATGATGCAATTTCATGATTCTACTTTTAATTCTATTCTCCCCTCGTTAGGTGGCGAGCCCGCCCCCAGGTCCCTCCCCTCCCGCATCCTGACCGGCGCCTGGTGGCTCTTCACCCTGATCGTCATCTCCACCTACACGGCCAACCTCACAGCCTTCCTCACCGTCAAGAGACTGGTGGCGCCCATCAACAGTGTGGAGGACCTGGTCTCCTCCTCCGTGCCTTACGGCTGTGTGAAGGACGCCTTTCTCTACAGCTTCTTCCGAGCGCAGGCCAACCTAAACGGTAACTACTTAAGAAATATTCCTACGCTAGCTTGGGTTACGTTGTAACATGTTTTAATCTTCCATTCCAATGCAACTGAGTTCTGATGAAGGTTAGACATCCAAGTAATAAGTTACTTAAGCAACTGGATATGATTTTGGAAACGGTCAGACGTTTCAGGTAGCATCCACTACCTTTCGTTAGTGACACAGATTGAAATGAACAAGCTTGAAGTACCTTAACTAAGGACAATTCTGCCACATATTCAAAGCAAAGATTTCTTTAAGAAAGACCAAGGAGATAAAGCACAGGGGAAAAACCATATGTGTGTGAAAAATTCAAGCCAACCTCAAAATGCAATTACCACTTACGTGAATTATGAGAAAACTGTATTTACATTTGTCTCCATAAATGATCACTTTTGACGTCTTTATTTCAAGATACGCCCTACAAATACGCCCAAAATACATGTAAAGTAAAACCAAGTCACAAATGAGCAAGTTTATCTTTAAGCAACGACTACTTGAAGGAAGACCGAGCTTAAGGAGATAAGCTTGAAGACACATTCGGGGCTCAATACCTAAGGAACTAAATCGATGGTACGCAAGCCGTATCATCCATTATCTGTGCGATATCTTCCTGAGACCACACGTTAAGATAGAGACGTAGTAGAATTCAATATACATAATGCGAGGTCATGAGTGCATCGGCAAAAAACATCAACTTGCTGAGTAAAATCGACAGAGAGAAATGTCTCAGGTCGGGAACTGTGCCACCAAGTGGGTGGAAAGTACATCTGGAAACGACTCATTTGCCCTGAGCTGTTTAAAAACTCATCACTATATTTCTCGGCGCAATGACTGTCGCCTGGAATATCGGACGCATCTATAACAAGGAAGAAAATGTATGTGCAGCTTCTGTTCAATCGTCTGTTCAATGAAGAAATAGTGTAAAACTCAACGGCCGGATATGGGCGAAAATACATGTTACACTCAATCTTTGCACATTTACTTGCAGGAGTTGTTTAAAGCTTTCTAGTGATGATGACCCAACTGTGCTAGGTGGCAACGAGTTCTAGTCTATGATAGTTATTGGGAAATACGAGTTTTTGAACACCTTGGTTGATAACTCTGATATTTGAAGGCATGACTGTTTCTTGTTCCTTTCTGGCCTGGTATCAGATACTTAGTGTACTGCACGACGCTAAAACTTTACCTCAACAACAACACACATGTTGATAAGTCGCCACTATCACATGCATTATCAATTCTGATCAGTCTCTGTTTTAGTAGGTACGGTTTGTGTGTCATCAGGGTTTGTAGAGTAGGCGTGGGCGTCAGAAGGTCCCCGAGCTCATTAATTTTAAAGGAAACTTTGCACAATTGTTAGTTCTTAAAGGAGTCTCTCAGTGGGTGGGAAATGAGAGTAGGACAACCTCTGATGACCAGCCCACGTCTACAAAACCCAAAGGACCGATCTTTATCAAACTGTTGACATCATCACAACTTGCATTCTGAGCATCTGCGAAACAGAAATTATTGAAAACTAGAAATGTAACATTTGCAAAGCAAATGCATAATGTTAGCCTTTATGGCCTGCTCTGTTAATTCTTACTCAAGTACATTCCTGGTCAGACAGGAGTATAAATCCCTCCTACTATAAAATTGCAACATTATGTAACCAACACCAGTTACCATGGTGAGAGACGTCAACAAATCAGGTCATTGGCCAGGTCAGAGGTCAGTGTTTGGAACGGAAGAAGAGCAAACGTAGCAAAAACAATATGTTTTCCTTCGGTAAACATTATAACCATGTGACACATAGAGATATGCATTATTATACGGGTAAATTAAAACCTTCAGCTTACGGAAAATGGATCGGGCTAAATTGTTATTGAACTGCCCTCATATCAGCATCTTCCCATCCTCCCACCCTTTAAATTCAAAATGAGGAATAACTCCTGTTTATTATCACGTATGATAACTAAATCCAGGCAGAAAAAATGTCATATTTCTCAAGTAATATGTAATTTTCAACGCGAGTAATCTTGCAGAGTGTCGTTTCTAATCGTCATCGAGGAATATCAAATCGTCCCAATGCGTTTCCTAGTTTCATCAGTTTCGCCTGAACATGTAATGCATTGGGCACAACTCTCATTAAGACTGCGTCGTGCCACAAGCTAATTAATCAACATAGTGCCGGTGTTGGCAGGTTTAAGCATTAAAGCAGCCTGACGCCATGCCTAGTTGCGGGCTAAGACTTATTGAATCACCAAGGACTAGAAAATAGATTGAATTCTGTCAAATATACCGAGTTCGATCCAATTTTCTTTATTCTCACTCAATATATCAAGCAATCAAACGCAGTTACAAGTCCAACTAACTGAACACAACAAAATAAGTGGACCCTGATTTATTTCTTAATCAGCACTTGACGATTAGACGACTTCAGGGAGGGTGGAATGAAAGAGCCCGTAGCTATCATCTCGGAGTTGAGTGATGTCTCTATAGGTTTTCCAAGGGCAGTTCTGGGATAGTGTCCCTTATTCCATCGACTAGATGAGAATTGATAATGATTATCTCTACGAGACATCGACCACTTTGCTGAGTCAACGCGCTGCCTGATTATAATTGCTTTCTTTACCGATAAAACGTTACCTAGAATCGTGCCACGGTCACCAGGCAAGGGTTGTGCCGTACGTACAGTGTTCCCGCAGGATCGAACAATTAACCTGTTAAATTTTAGACCTATTTCCAATTTTGAGTGTCCTCGTTTTCGTACAAACCCACGCACGTTCTCGTGTATTCTCGCGGGAGTACATTACAAAATGGCGCTCGTAATTGGCAATGGGTCTATTAAGAGGGTCATACGGGACCCTTAAGTTTTCACTATTTAACTGAAGTGGAAACCAACACCTGCATACTAAGTCTTACACTATAAAATCATTTAATGTCATTTGGCCGAATTAATGTCTCGAAAGCACATGTTGACATCTACACCTCCATGTTTACTAAGAATCTTTTATACAGGGAATTTTCAGCCTTTCGTTAGGAAATCTCAACATATGCTCTTTATAATACGCCAGGCACCCCTCTATCATTTGTTGGGTAATATCGATTACATTATAAGATGTATTTCTTTTCAATTTAAGTGATGACATCAGAAATATTCGACTTCTAAAACTGAAACTTGCCAAATTCGTCTCCATGTGCAAGAAAGGAGGACCTATTCCTTTCAAACACTGCTTTCTTGATACACTGTACTGTGTAGCCTTCCTTATTCAAAATGTTGAAAAATGTATGTTGGACGTTTATATTTGCAGGCAGTTCATCTGTATGGGGAAGGATGTGGCATGCAATGACGGCGTACGACGAGTTTCCTTACTCACCTACAAACGGGATTGAAATCGTCAAGAGGGGACAGTTCGTTTTCATACAGGTAGGGCGTGCAAACCATCACCCGTCTACCTCATTGTACCCCATAAAAAGTATAACTAGCATGTCTAGATCATGAGATACCAAAGCCAGAAGTTTTGCTGCTGTAGCATTGCAAGCCGCCAGGGGGGGCAAAATCTAATCATTTCGAGGTCTCATCAAGACCTATCCACCTACCAAATATCAAGACAACATTTAACGTGTTTCCAGACACAAGTATACATACACACATACACAGACACACATACGAACGCCTCTGAAAACATATTCTTCTTGGCGAAGGTAACTACTGTGTCATAAGAGTACATTATGGGGAGAACGCTATGTACAGGGTAACTCGCTTAAATCTATATTTTGACGTTTACAGTGCAGTGCCATCAATGACACTGAAATACAACATTCAACATTACTTACTTACTACTAGTAACTTGGGCCCTTGTCACCATGTGGAGCACCAATGATCTTTCAACACTCAACATTGATACGTGTTACTCAATGAACAAAGACGTTTGTACAAAATATACATCCTACAGATGTTAGGGAACATCGAACCTTACAAATCATATTTCTAGTATTTTTATGAGATGTGTTTCAAATTGGCCTGGGGTAAATTATGCTTCCTAAGCTTGACATAATGATGTAACGTTTTTCCAACACGAACTGACAACTACCCGATTTCTCATATATCTTCTAATACTTAAACACGTAGTTTGTAAATATGGGTCCCTTGATGCGACATTTTGTCATCAATCATGATATAAAGGATCGATAAACACCTGTTGGCACTTAGAAAAATCATTCAAATGACACTCACAGATGGAAAATGCGTTTTTTGATTAATGTCGCATTATCTTCTCAATGGATTTTTACTGCTCTCTAGAATAAAGTGCAATAAAAGGTATGTCTATGGCAAAGAATGCCAGCCTGTGTACTGCCAATCTCATACGAAATGTTGGATATTTCTATTGTGTATCAACAGACGTCGTTTTGCAGTTGCAAATAGAACAGACTCTCAAAAGATACTCAATCCCTGTTGGAAACAGTCTAGCCTGTGATAAAATTTTTTAAGTAACACAAGAGGGCTCACAGGAAATTTTGGATGATAGGAAAAGAGCCGTACACTTCCAGGTTATCATAATATATGATGACCAGCCCACACCTCTGCCCTGCCACTTGCTACATAATGTAATCCAACACCAAATGGTGTCTGCTACAGCCTTTGACTCTATTTGTGTGGAACGAAAGACGAATCATCAAAACAAAAACAATGCTTCCTTTTGAGACTGTAAACATAACAATTATTGATGTGGAGATTACATGTTCAGAAATCCAATTAATAAAGAAGCATGTATGTAAGGGCATCATACCGTGACTAATGTCCTAAATTATCCAACTTGTTATCTCCTCAAGCTGTGCATTATGTTCACTCATATTAGTTATTACTATTACCTGCAGGAAACTCCCTTCCTGGAATTTGTCATCAAGAAAGACCCGAAGTGCGAACTGATGATGTTGGGCAAGCCGTTCTTGTACAAGGGATACGGCTTTCCGGTCAGAAGAGGGGAAAAATACCTTAAAGACATATCAGTAGAGTAAGTGTGTTTGTATCATATAAACTTTGAGAAAAATCACATATAGGTTGGCGCCCATCTCCGTTTTCTCAGCCTTTGGCCACACAGTTGTGGTGTTGGGAAAGCCATTTTTGGCGACGTCTCATGGAGGAGCCTAATGGTACACGTTTGTTGACATGCCCACATTCCTGGAAACCCTTGGAAAAGCCTGTCTGCCCGGATGCTCTACGTGTACTTTCTGTGTCCCCGGACCTAGTTTACTATACACTCGGGGGGAGGGGGGTTAGGGTACCAAGGCTTCCTCAAAATCATGAAATCATGGCAGTGCCATGCAAACAATAACCCTAACAGCAACCACCGTCGCCATGGCAATGACAATGTGTTTTCATTGCCAGTCTTGTTACAGGTAGGAAGAGGAGACAGACAGCTTAAAGACACATCAATTAAGTGTATATACGGACAAAGTTATACAGATTGATAGATAGATACTAGTAGATACATGTAGATAGATGTTAGATAGATAGATAGATAGATAGATATAGATAAATTGTCGTGCACTCTTGCTGCAATCTCTTAAGTCAAATCCATAAGCTTTTAACATATGATGATTCCCTTGACTGTACTGACTTTTGTTTATATCTTTTAAAAGGATACTAAAGATGCAAGAGTCTGGACTTATAGACCAAATCAAAACAAAATGGTGGAGCAAAGATGGCTGCCCCCTGGACGGAGAGATTGCAAATGTCAACGAGGTCACGGCGCTGGGAATAGAGACGTTTCTAGGCGTGTTCTACGTGTTGCTAGGGGCTTCTGCGCTAGCCCTCCTTGTGACTATTGGTCAGATCATACACAAGAAACTCACCAAGAAAAAAAGACCGAGAATGATCAAGGTAAGACAACACTCCAGCAATCTTCTCAGGGAGTTGCATGAAAGTCGCATTTGCATTAGAATTTTTTTCAAGTTTAACAATGATTGGCACCACATCGCCATGTGTAAAATGATTTCATAACAAGATCATTGAGGTAAAAAGATTATAAAACAAGGATGACAGGGATACCATTTGCCAGCAGAATAGTATTGGCGTCTTGGTCATACAAAATACACAACAATATTGAAAACTATAAACGGGATGTCATTCTTCATATAGATACGCAAAAATGGCCTTGAAGACGTTCTGCCGAAGTGCTTGCTATATACACTGATTCTAAGTGTGTGGATGTGTGCAGTTCTGTGCTGTATATAGTATTGTGTGTTCTCTGTTCATATCTTTAGCTAGAGGAGCTGCAGTCAGCCTCTACTGTCAGGCTTACGTGACCAGAGCCACCTTTCTTTCTGTAGCCGTCATCCCCACCTGTTGGCAAAAGATGCTGCTGCAGCGATTGGCAGTAGCAGCAGAACATCACCACTCACAACCGACACCTACCGGATAGGAAACGAACTACAGCAGTCCACCTTTGCTATGATTATTCCATTTCTTAACTTGACAGCAGTGCTGTGATGATTTTGTTAACCCTTCAAATTTATATATTCCCCATTTTATTTTTCCCTAAATACACCTCACCATTCACCTAAAAACAAGTTTCAAATGCCTAACCCGTAATCATAAAATTAGTAAGACTTACCATAGGAAAGACTCCACATAGGCCTCAAAGTACCTTTTCATGATGTACAAAAACAAAGAAGGCCTTGATATATATACTGCCTGGGCAGTTTTCTACAATCTCCATAGCTAGTTATACGATATCAATTTTACAAGAATGATGGTGTTGTGGTATTTTCCTCCATATAAAATAACCTGGTAGAGTTTTACATTTGTGTATAACCCAACAGCATTCTAGTAAGACTTACTTGTAATTTGTAAATAATGCTGCATGTCATTGTAGACAACATCATGTATGCAACTTGTGCCCTATGAATATTAGTGATCACATATCAGGAACTATATCTATACAGTAGAGTACCCTATCTGTGCAAAAAAAATAATAATTTCAATTCTGTTAGATAGAAACCTCTTCACTATGTAGTATGATTCACTTTTATTCTAAATTCACACATTCTTTTACACCTTGGTGTTGCCAACCTCCCTAATAATTCCTTAAACTACCTCCTTCTTACAATCATATATAGGCCGGGACACCTTACCCAATTCTTGAGACATTTCCACAATACAAATGTTACTAAAGGCCTTCCCAAGTGTACTATGTAAGTCATTGCTAAGATACACTACTTATTCCTAGTGGTTAATAGTTTTCTTTTGTAACATACAGAATAGAATTTTAGTACTGGTCAGTTCCCATATTGTTGGTTAAAACTGTTAGTTAAAACTGACCACTCATCATCAAGGGAATGAAGAAATTGGTATAACAGTCACTATAGACAATATTCTTGTTGCTTGTGTCAATGGGAAAAATTATCTAAGGGGCCACCAAAATGGGGCCACAATGAACAGTTGGTTCTTATGCAAATGTGGTTACTAGTACAGATGTATATCATATTCTACATGTATGCCCATCTTTCTAATGTATGAAAATTAAGATGCTCCAGATGCTTAAGATCAAATACAACTTGAATGTTCTCAAGATATTTTAGGAAAAATATACACCTACCTTAAGTTTGGCACAGTAGATGTGAAGATTGAGAAAAAGCACCCTAAAAACAAAAGAACAACATACATGATATAAGCATCTATTTAAAACAGCAAGTGACAATCTATGTCTAGTTCAGATGCATGTTGTTGTCCTCAACTCTGTACTTCAGGTGACTACAAGTTGTGAACACTAGACTCAGCCTTACAGTTTTCATGATGGTAAATAAGACTTTTGATGGTAAAACACTGAGCCACAAACTCTTTCTAATCTTATGGTACTGTTACTGTAATATCCATGAAATGTACTGTAAAAAGACATAGTGTTAATGTTGATAGCATGTATAGTCTGAAGAGCTTTTGTCTTGGATAACAGAAGATTCGGTACAGTATGATATTTACAATGTACAGGTAGTACTTAGTAACATACTTCTATTGTGCATAGCCACTGACATGAATGGGCTATAAGATATAGTAGTCTCTACCAGACTTTTAGGTTCTGTATCTGTGTGTCTGTGTGTAGCACATAGAATTGCCCCCTGGTGTAACACACCAGCTCCGCAGGCACAGTTGCTGGTAACACATACAAGAAATTGGCCTAATCATTGGCTTAATATAGGCTTAATCATTGGCCACAGGTGTTGGCCTAGGTATAATTCTATATGAGGCTACCTCCTCTAGCAAATTCAGCCTATTTAGCCATTATACCATTCAAAACAGTCTGGTAGAGACTAGACATATGAGGTGGCCCAGAATCATCATGCTAAAATTGGTAAAAAATTTTTACTAAAATAGTCAAATGCAGAGATACAAGACATTACACTGTAGTAGTAAGTACTACATTTTACGAAAGAATGTTGACAAGCAACACTATCCCACCCAGTCTCCCACCCCCCTCCCCCATTGTACAAAAAAAATGAGTAAAGAGACTCTTTTTACACAACCAAGTCTTTTATTGGGCTGACGTTTCGGTGACCATCTGTCACCTTCCTCAGGGCACATTGCATTGCAGCACAGGTGTCGCTGCCACACTATGCATTCCCAAATGTACAATATTTAGTAATACATATCTACACATATGCATGATGGGATTACAGAGAAATGTATCACGCATATGTGTAGATATGTAGATATTATACATTTGGAAATGCATCTGTAGCAGCAACACCTGTGCTGCAAATTGCAATGTGAATCAGTCAGAATTGCCCTGAGGAAGGTGACAGACGGTCACCAAAATGTCGGCTGAATAAAAGACTTAGTTGTGTAAAAAGAGTCACTTTACTCAGTGTCTTACCAACCTGATGAAACTATTCACGGATGTACAAAAAAAGTTTGCACAAACACCTTCCCTTGTCTCTTTTTCCCTGTAATTAAGAGGACATAATTAATGCCCAGGTTGTATTGGTATGTTTACAGACTAGGCCTTACTTTTTATACCATATGTGCTTGGAAAGTAAAGTCTATAGAAGCTCAGTGCTTACTAAGATGTAAAGTTGTGTGTAATAACTACTCTTGTTAAGTGAACTGAAAACAAATAAAGTTTGTAGAAAAAGGAACCCAGTGTGTTCATTTGGACTATGTTTACTGATAATACCTTAAAGGGAATAATTTCATTACTTTATAGTCATTTTGTTCCATTGTGATTTTATTTATAATAAGATCATAAGACAGTATGGGATCCATATACAAAGAAAGACAAAGGCAAATTGGAAAGGGTACAGAATCAAGCTGCAAGATTCTGTATGAACAACTATGAAAGAGGTGCTAGTGTCACAGAAATGAAAAGAGGTTCCTACAGTGGGCCTCACTGGAAGACAGAAGAAAAATGTCCAGACTATGCATGATGTACAAAATGACTAATAAACTGGTGAACATCCCAACTACTAAGTACCTAATACCAGCCCAAGAAATTGCCATGCCTTCAAGTACCTTTAGCTTTAAACAATGTCTAGAGTTAGAAGCTCAAGGGTTAGGTGTAACAAGTCGATCGGTATAATATAGCCAGCTGCCGCCGCACTACATGCCTGCGAAGCTGGTGTGTTACGCCGAAAGGCAATTATACCGGCTATACAGATACAGATCTATATTGTATTAGGGAAATTTTACATGCTTCAATGTTGCAACAGGGCTGTATACATATCATGTACCTGCATCCATATTGCTTTTGTACAGGTCCAGCAGTCACATACTAGTACACCTATAGTAGGAGGGTGAGAAAAGAAGTTTGAATGTGTACATGAATTCTTTCATAAAGCTTGAATGTGTAACTACAAACAATCTTTTCTGGGTCTACAACAAGCTTCATAAGATTAAAGCTAATCTTCCTGTGACTTTATGATACAAAATCATCATCATAACATATCATCAATGTCTAGAGTTAGAAGTTCAAGGGTTAGGTGTAACAAGTCGATTGGTGTAATATAGCCAGCTGCCGCCTTGCCGCGTGCCTGTGAAGCTGGTGTGTTACGCCGAAAGGCAGTTATATACTGGCTATACAGATACAGATAACACATATTATAGACATAATTAATATACACATATACCTGCATAAAATCATCATGATCTTCAGGAGGAAAGCCACCTCAGCCTGTGGTGTCCTGATCTCCACTATAGGTAGTTTTAATGACATATTTCAAATAGACCCAGATACAAATCATCATCATACAACATCATTATAACACAAGAACATCATAACATTCACCATAAACATTAGACATCTTCATCATTATAACACATTGTGAGAAACCATCATCACCATTAGACATCAACATTATGATACATCATGAAACATGGTAATACAACACCATCATCAATAGGCAACATCCTCATCATTATGAAACACCAAGAAACATCATCAACATCATGTCATCATCATGCAACATCATAATCATCATAATACAACACCATCACCACCATCATAAAAACATCAAGAAACATCATCAACATCATAAGACAGCACTATCCACATCACCATCATGCAAAATCATAATCATCATAATACAATACCATCATCATCATCACCATCATCATGAAAACAATTTCATCACAAAACACCATCATGTACTAGTATCATCATAAAACATCACTATCATCATGCAACTTCATAATGCAACCTCATAATTCACCACCATCATCAACACATCATCACAAAACACCATCATGCATCATCATAAAACATAACCATCATCATGCAACCTCATAATCAACACCATCATCATCATATATGACTATCATGATCATGCAAGCATGTAACAAGGATAATAATTGAACTCAGAAGCTTAAATGTTATGGTGTGATTCCACCACCACCAACCTACAGCCCTTGATAGTCATTGGGTGGGGAGAACAATTCTGCTCAAAAGGATATCTATTTAGTGCACTTATTATATATAATAAACATCACATGCCTTTGGGTGACTGAATATACTAGTAATGCATGTACCGTTAGAAACATAACTTATGATAGATACCTGGGTGTTATACTGGTATATGTATCAGGATCAACCCACCAGAAATACAAGCAATAGCCATAACCTACGGCCAGCGAGCGTTAGGCAAAAAGCGGGTGACGGTTGGCTGATTTGCATATGTGTTGAAACAATTTGCATGTATATGGTGTAAACAAAAGCAGCGAGCGCTCGTATCTGTTGAGGAACCGATTTCTATGTCTACGACAGACCTAGAATGTGTTGAAACAATCTAGACAATAGTAGTATCTAAATTTTACCACACACATTCTAGTAAGCTGTAGTATAGCAGCAATCGCGTTGGCGCGCAAAAGACCGTTGGTTAGATTCTTGTGAATAAGTCTTAAAATTGATTAATTTTAAGGCCTATTCACAAGAATAGGTCCATAAACCACAAAATGCGCAGTTCGTAGTCGGCTATGGTGTTCAAATGGACAATACATGCGTTTACGAGTTGAAAATAGCAACTGTAACTTACAGAAACTGGTCAAAAAGAAAAACAAACCATTACGTACCGCCATGTTGGATTTCAGTGACCTTTGAACTTTGACACTGATTAACCTGGTAATCCTAATAACAAGTTCAGTAAACTACACATCAGTTTGTACTGTAAGGAAAGAAATATTTCAGTCATACATTGAAGAGGACCTATACAGTGTACAAATAGGTTGTAAAGATGCGTCAGAAATACTTACTATCCATCCCTAGGCACTACGTGAATCCGTACATACATTCACACATATACTTTATACACAAATTTGAATATAAACGCGTTAAAAAAAGTTTTCGACCATACTGTAAATCGTACAAAATGAGCGAATATACGTCGTATGTTGCAAGGAAAAGACATGTATTGGAAAACGATACTAATGTCATAGAATGCCTAAATCAATTCAGGAGAAGAAGAAAATGAGAAGAAATAAAAAGGAAAAGTATATCAATTTTCTCCATAGCCCATACCATACTCTGTGTGCTTAGTCATTTGATCAGCAACTTTTATGACCACGTAGATTTCATAATGAATGAAACTTTTTTTTTGCCAATCTTTTTTTATTCGCACGCTCGCGTCAGTTTTTGGGGTTTCCAAAGAATGCCATCCATATTTCAAATCAGCATGGCCTTAAAGTTGAGAAGGCCTGGTGGAGGCTATAGTTTGACAACGTTTACTTCGGTATGTATCTGCTTGGAGATAATTTTCAACCCCATTTCAGTGACAGTCTAAGTAACTCTACACTGTAATTACGCTTCCGAACATTGTATCAATTGTTTCACAGTTAACCGCCTCTGGCTGCATGTTTGGTTCACACGTATAAGCAGCAACTACTCAGAGGCTTGTTAATATATTTTGTCTAACCCTTGACTCTTCCCCTATGACCTCAATGAAAATTGGCTTGCATGTCCATTTGAGTTTTCATGAATAAAGAATGGTTCAAACAAGAAAAAAAAGCAAATGGTTCAAGTAAATTATGTCCATACATGGTGTCCAACTAACTCTGACTATTGTTCCACATATAATCATAAGATATTCTGCAACATGTGTTATCTTCAAATTCTTCAAAATTGTATATCTAAGTACCCACATCGACAGAAAACCATACTAAACCGGTATGCAAAGCACGGCTACACTGAGTGGCCATTTATGTAAAAGAAAACCTTTCCAAAATATTATAGAATTAGTAGCTGAAAGTAAGTATTTTCATCTGTAAGGTCAAACATTCTTTGCTAGCTTTCCAAGAAATATAGAACTTTACGTTTTACACCATGCGAACACGCTATCATTATTCCAACATACGAGAGTAATGCTCGGTCATTTTACATAATAGCCGGTCATTTTGTACTACCACCCCCATTACAACAACGTATTAAACGCTGAATCCATCAGGAAAGCAACAGCGTATCAGTGGTAGATACCGTCATGTATTTTCTGAGCCTCATGCCCTCATAACACAACACTAGCACTGCAGCTTGCTTATCTCATTTTTACGAGTCCAAATAGAGAGTACAGTATTACTATCTGGATGATAGTTTGTCCTACTTTGGAGGTCTGATTACTGAAGCGTGAGTGATTATGTTGACAACTGGGGTTCTTGGAAAGACCGGAACAGCTGCCTTCACACTTACATAAGTCTTAAGAAGCTACAATCAACAGGTGGCAGCTGGAGACACAGGTAAGAGCGCTACTTACATCCTCTACTACTTGTACAGAAAACATGTCTCAAACGCTTGCAAGGTATCTTTCCATACTATACAAAGTTGCATTTTGGTAAGGTCAACGGGTAAGGTTTCAATGTACAGGTCTATACTGTAAAAACCATACAGTACAACCGACTATGTTACTGGCATGCGGAAGGGGGGGGGGGCTCCACAGAAAAGGGAAAGCATCCAACCATCCCGACGTATACTTGTAATGGACAGAAATTTCCATGTATAATCATCTCACACACGTTCGTGTACGTTTGTGTGTGTGTGTGTGTGTGTCCGCGTGTCCGTGTGTGCCCGTGTATGTTTGTTTGTGTGTGTCCGTGTGTGTCTGTTTGTGTGTGTGTGTCCATTTCCGTGTGCGGGTGTGTGTCCGTGTGTGTGTGTGTGTGTGTGTGTGTGTGTGTGTGTGTGTGTGTGTGTGTGTGTGTGTGTGTGTGTGTCCGTGTGTGTGTCCGTGTGTGTCCGTGTGCGTGCGTGTGAGTGTGTGTGTGTGTGAGTGTGTGCCCGTGCGTGTGAGTGAGAGTGTGTCTGTGTGTGTGTGTGTCCGTGTGTGTGCGTGAAGATGTTGGTTGACATCCATGTAGGCTCTCTTGCATGATTAACCTACAGGGCGAGATCTTGTTTTCATTTAGGGTTTTTGGTGGCCCCGAATGTTGGTTGGTCGTGTCACTGTGACCTAGGCTCATAATGGCTAGTATTTTTGATCCCCCCTCCCACCGAACATTAAGATGTTCGCCATCTTGCTACAGTTCAAGGACTCAGGTCAGGGTTTGGCCACACGTGATATGAGCTAGAGTCACACCTGTAGGATTTTCCGCATGATGTGCCCCATTGTTGCGGCCAGGTAACGTTAGGCCCCTATAGCGGTCCAACCGGTCCAGTCGGCCCGATTCACATGTGTTATTCGAAAATTCTTCACCGCACGGAGGGCGTATGACTGAGCTTCAATTAAAATTACCAGGGACAAAATCTACGTTTTAAGTAAGAACACGCGTCTACGGCATCTGACAAAACAGGCCGCTGAAGTAAGTAACTTGAGAAAGTTTGTTTCCTTTTATTTTAATGATAGTTGATCCCATGGGAAAGTAGAGTGTAGGGACTGCCTCAGGTAACAATTACTTGGGGTGAAAGTTCATCAGGTAGGATAAAGGGGGAGGCAAAGAATCTTACATGACACTTGAGGCTATGCTTTTTCTATGGCTGACAGTACAAAGCTTCTCACGTTTTGTTTGATACGACATGAAAGGTAAGATTTGTTTTCTGTAAAAGTCAGCAATATGGCTGGGGAATATATGTAGCGCCGAGTACCGCTTAGTGGTTGTATGAAAAGTCATTGGTTGTAAATCGCTCCAATTACAATGGCACACAGTTGTTGATCAAAAAAGAGAGTGGTACACACAAACTCTGCGATACACATAGCGAGTGTGTCGTTTTTTGTTGTTACAACAGTGTTTCCGAGAATTTTGAGCACAGATTATTCGACGGTCTAGTCGTTCGGGGTTCGGATTTCTTTCTTTTGTTTATGCAAACAAACCAAATCCAGGACAGTGCAAGCCTCTGTACAGTTGACTAGACACATGAGAGACAAAGATTTTCCAATGATCATATCAACCGCTTCTCTACGTCCTTTAACTTTACTATATAATAGCAGGAAATTTGATTTAAAAAACAGCATCCCCAATTAAACCCATTGTAGTGGACATTTTTACAAACGTAGCTATCCACCGTCTTTTTTTGCATCATTCATTAACACACGATGTTGAGTTTTAGTGTAGTGCTATCTAGCGACTGCAAAATAAAGGAAGCATTTATTTAGTATGTAGATAATGACTTGTGTGTGCACAGAGGGCGGCCAGTAGTGTGAAACTTGTTTACAGTGTTACAGCCTCCGGCGAGGACGTTACATTTTGTCAGCGGTTTTGGGGTAAACAGGGAATCTCATGGGAATATAGTATCCTACCTCTAGTTGCCATGCCCTAGGCTACGGAAAAAGCGGTTGGATCTACGGAATCTAAAACCAGGTGTGAAATTCTTTCGTAAGAAACGTATTTAATGCACTGCACTAGCGAAGCCAAGCCAAGAGAGAGAGAGAGAGAGAGAGAGAAAGAGACAGACAAATAACGCACATTTGTGTGCTGATTGAAGCCTTTCCACAACATATCTACACATGTGTACTTTATTGACACAACAAAAGTACAGCGATTTTCGTAAGGCCCTATATATACTACATGTAAACATACAGACAGATACATGGATTTAACAAAATTGTACCTACGTACAAAACAATGGATGAGCTTTGAGATAGCAATATGAATGTGGCTTGTTATGCTTTGTTTGTTTTTAACTCTATGCATACTGTAGCTGGTGTGTTACGCCGAAAGGCGGTTACACCGGCTATACAGATACAGAACAGGATTTTGACCCTCCTTTGTTTTCTTTCTCAGGTCAGCCACACATTTGTTTGTAGTTCGGAAAAAAAGCAAGCAACCCTGAGAAGTAGAGATGAGGTTGGGCCAGGTTGTCCAGTCGTCATGCCTGACTCCCTGTGATGTCTGTCCCGGGACAGTTTCCCCTGCAGTCCGGACCTGTATCGGCTGTGAGCTCTCCTACTGCAAGGACTGCTTAGAAAGAACACATGGAAACGACGGACTAGGTGAGAGAGCATTTATAGGCTTAAGCATGAGAGTTCAGCTGAGTTGGCAAATTGCGTAATGAGAAATAAACTATTTTATAACTCAAAAGAACCTGAAAAGCTTTCAGATGGCATACCCCATCTTTCTTCTTATAAGCTCTGGTAGTTGGTAGATTTATAGTAAGTAGTAGACAGCAGTTGGTAGGTTGTAGTTGGTAGTAGGTAGGTATTAAGTAGAAGTTGGTAGTATTGTAGGTAGTAGCTGCTGGTAGAAGATAGTAGTTGGTAGTAGATAGTAGTTGGTAGGTAGTGCTAAGTAGGTAGTAGTTGGTACATGTAGATAGTAGTAGCTATAGGTAGTTGGTAGTAGTTAGTACATGTAGGTAGTGGTAGGTAGATAGTACCGAAGTGGTGGGTAGTAGGTTGTAGGTTGCGCTTAGTAGATAGTAGGTAATGATGTAAACCATAACTTTGCTAAATATTTTGTCTGGCCCTTAACTCATTCCTCGTGACCTACATAAAAGATCGATCTGAGCTTCTCATGAATAAAGAATGGTTCAAACAAACAAACAAACAAACAAGTACTAGTGTGTAGTAGGTCATTGTCAGCTTGTTCTATCCATGGCAGGCCATTGCCTGGTGAAGCCAGAGGAGAATGTGGACTCTGAGATGCCGCGGTGCAGGCAGCACGGTCAGCTGGTGGAACTGTTCTGTCAGACGGACGGCGTCCCCGTCTGTCTGGAGTGTTTACAAACAGGCAGGCACAAAGGTCACAACGCCACCTCCATGGAAGACTGGGCCAATAGGGAACAGGTGAGAAACTACGGGCTAACATTTTTGCCTTCGTCAGAAGGGTATGTATTCGGAAATCAGAACCTTATTACCTTCGCCAAGAAGGTTATGTTTTGCTTATATGTTTTATGAGGCAATGCTAGAATAGCCCTACTTGTTTAAGATAAACGAATGACTTTTATTGTACATTTTTGCCCAATTCCGAACTAAGTACAGGTCACGGCAAATAGCGATGGTAGACTTAAATATAAGACGTCATTTGATGGAGAATATGATCAAATAGTGATAGATACAACTGAGGATCCTGTTTCCATAATTAATGTGAAACAATCATAATTCGTCTGTTGTAAAGGTTATCATCCTTTGGCGAAGGTATAAAATCGTTGAACTCTAGTTTTATCTACTTCAATTTTCACCTCAAAACAAGGCTCTTACGAACCACTTACATGTTTTGGGTTACATTAGGGACCTGTGAAGACATATGTTTGTTTACCCTAGAGGCCTAGACTTGAATACTAGTAGTCTAAGGTTGTACCCGTTTGGGAAGCATTCACAAAGAAGCTTGTTTCATAGTGATGTAGTTCTTAGCAAGAAGCTTTCTTATACTGCTTCTAATTATGTTTACCGAAGGAAAACATATCTTTTTTTGCTACGTTTCCTCTTCTTCTTCTGTTCCAAACACTGACCTCTGACCTGGCCAATGACCTGATTTGTTGATGTCCCTCACCATCATGGTAACTGGTGTTGGGTTACATAATGTTGTAATTTTATAGTAGGAAGGATTTATACTCCTGTCTGACCATATATGTAAATGTATTTGAGTAACAATTAACAGAGCAGACCTATGCGAAGGTAAGCATTATGCATTTGCTTTTCAAATGTTACCTTTCTAGTAGTAGACTGGATTATTTCCACAATGGGAATAAAAGCATGTTAGCAGCCCAAGGGTTAAACTGTACAGCTTTGACACAATAAACAGTATGTGTTATGTCTGATTCATGACAACAAACAAGATAACAACATTGGTGTCCTTGAGTCACGGTTCACTGACCTCAACAACATTTGAAGATTGACGGCTCATAACGTCACAAAATTTTTGCAAGAAGACATAAATGACTTGAGGCTTATACTATCCACTATGAAAGACTAATATAAAATAGACCTATAACTATGAGATTTATGGAAAAGCTGAACTGATTTACTGAAGGTTTTCGGGCAGAAAATCGACCTCAGATGACTTTTGCAAGAATCGTCCGTGACCCGTGATTATACGGGTTATCAGGCGGTCGATGCCCTTTGCCTATGTGGCAGAATATCTCAATTCGTCAACAACAAAGGCTTGACTTAGGTGGCAAACCATGTCAATATTGCGCACTGATCATGGATTATTTCCCTATATAGTAGAGGGGATTCATTCCTCAAGCTAACTGACATCTCGCACACGCAGTCGTCCCTCAGCAAGACATCTGGAGCCGCATAGTTCCCGTTTAGAACTTTTATTCAGCCTGGTCATGGATTATTTCCCTAGTTTTAGATTTTTAGATAGAAAAGAAAAATTCACATTCCTCATGAAACTCGATAATCCTCGTACTATATATATATATATATATATATATATATATATATATATATATATAAGCTCCACCTGTTTTCAATTTACAACTGTCTTAAGAAGCGAGAAGAAGCAGAACCTGTACATATGTAGTTTTACTATAGATAGTTATGGGTTCACCACACCACGAAGTGGTGTGGTGAAACCATATTGCTTTTTCTGATGTTTCTTCTCCTTCTCCTCCTCCTTCTCCTCCTCCTGCCATATCTTTAAATGGATTCAGCTTCTTCATTTTAGGGCCTAAGGTCCTGAAATTTGGTATGGAGGTACAGTGGGCAAATACCCCTAGGCGTTTTTTAAATTATTGTGATACAGGCTTTTAGAATGGTTTTATTTGAGTTTTTTGGCTGTGTAATAGCTAATGTATTACTGTGTAAGTGTGCAGTGTTTACCACATTTGGACATGAGTCATCACAATGGCATGCAAGGCATCAACCAATAGGCATGCAGCTTTCCTCTATTCTCCTTGCTGATTGGCTGTTGGGATTTAACTGGCTTAACTTCATTTACACCTGCACAGAGCCATGCCATACTGACAGTATGTCTGTATTCAAGTGTTTTGGTAGGTATTTTAAGCTTTCCTGCTCCAGCATTGGAATGCGGGCTATGAACGCTTCTTTTTATCTTGAAAATCAACAGTTTGCATTATGCAATCCTAACCAATAATGTAGGGAATAGCTATCCAACTGTTGTAGTCTTAGTTGTATGTTACTTCATACTATAGTTATATCAATGTAAAGCATTGTTTTCCCTTGTGTTTCTCATTCTTTCCCTGCCATGTGGTAAAATGTGGTGAACCCATCGCTATATTTGCTCCAAAGCAAATATTGGCCTTTCTAGTTTTTTTTTAATTCACCATCGCTATTTGCCGTGACCTGTACTTGGTTCACAATGACCAAAAATCTACAATGAAGGTCTTTCATTCATTGATTGTAATAGCAAACCAGTTTGACGACCCAACAAAGATGTGTATGCCTGTCTTCTGCCTTGCATGGCTTTCACGGATATTTTTGGGTCATTGACTAATGTCATAATGGATTTCCATCCAACTTGAGAATCGAATTTACAAGTGGTGTCCACCAATTAAAAATGGTGCATATTCGATATCTGGTGACAATGTTTAATATTACATTATGGTTTCATATCCCTTGTGGGCCCAAAACGTATGTCAACATTGACTAGAATATTCCCTTTGTTGTATACGTAATGGCCTACTGGTTGTGGCAACTGCTCTATTTGTTTATTTGAATTTACCACTAGATATACAAGTGGAAGGGAGGACAAAACAGGTGCATTGACACCTTTACAAGTTGTCCTCCCAAACACAACATACAGAATATAAAAGCAGATTACATCATTAAATACAAAACAAATTGCAATAATGGACATCATTAACATCAAATATTGTACATCAACATCAAATATAATACATTAAACATCAAAAACTGTACAATGCAATTTCAAGGTATATACACATGCAATACATTATTTACAAAAATATCAATGGTTAAAAACTGTGTAGTAACACTATTGAGGTAGTATATAGTGCCGTGCTCTAGATATTCATTGGCTTGAGAAGGACCTGGCCCAATACATCTAAAGGGTGCTAAAACACTCATCAGGCACCAATTAAAGAAGCTAATAGCATCTGCGGTTTCCTATCAAATTGGGTTTTCATTGTATTGTCTTTCAATTTATCTTCTTTTGGGGGCAATAATTTACTTAGGTGCGTCGTCTCTCTTGAAAACAGTACATTTTACATTTGATATTTAATTACGGACTATTTTTGGCTTAACAGTACATAGGCGAGTGGGCATCAATCGAAGTAATATAATGCCAGAATGTTTAAACCACAAACTAGGATGCATTTGTTTCCAAAATAAAAGCTCGCGGTACGGCACAACCAGGAGTCAACGAGAATGTTTTTGGTATCCGAAGGTCTTTTTAAGATATTTAGAAACATCTGTGTTGGTACCATAAACATTTAGGTTCTTCACCTTGCTTTACCCAAAACAAGAAATTCAAAGAATTTTCGAGCGTGTCCATTGGGTATCTTATCAGTGTGCATCAAGAAAGTGGGTCACCTCGTGTTGGAAAAAAAACATTCTGTAAGTACAAATGTGGTAATGATATTTTTCCTCAGCAATAAACATTGTTATCATCTTGTAGCAAACGGCGTATGTCTGGTGGCAGAATGGATAAAATAACGTAGCACAATAGCCCACAAATAACATGTTTCACACCCAACTCATTCCAGTGACTTCAATATAGTGATCTGCAGCCATTCCGATATACGTGGTGTGTAATTACATTCGATTACACGTGGTTAATGGGCCAATTATTTGCTTTCTGAGAAAGGATGGTGCTTTTGAGAGTACCATCACACACGGTGTGTGATAAGAGCATCTTGTTCTTTCCCATATCTTCAGGAGCGCCACGAGGCCAGGGCACATCGCAAAAGAGCACGCCAAGAATCTGGTGGTATCGCAGCTGCGGAGGACACCGTAGAGAAAATCAACGACATCGAAAGCCTTCACAAAGTCGTAAAACATCCTCCGAATGAGCAACCAAGGGGCAGTGTCCATCAGCCATTAACAGGCCAAGGTCAAGAAACGGTAGTTTATGATGATAACTACAGTCAAGACGCAAGCAGACGTAACGACATCGCGGCTACAGGAATAGGAACGGATGTAGATTTTCTATCAAGGGAAGGTTCGAACCGACCTGTTGGATTGAAGTATGCAATCAGGGGAGACGCATCAGTACCCCATCCAAGCACCATAAGGGAGGCAGTCAGGCCGGTCGTAAGAAGCGTTAAAGATGTCGTAACTACGCCTGAAATTGCTTCACAACATCCTCCGAGGGAGCGCCAGCCGCCTGTAAGGGGTTGTTTGAGCACAGGTCAAATACGGACACAGGGCAGAATCGGCGGCAATGATGTTCTTAGGCCATCGATGCATAGCGGATTCAACGATAGAGAAGAGGATCATTTCTATAAGCCCCAACAGCAGAGGATAGACAAAGATTCCATCGGCGTTTCAACCCACACAGGCGGGCCTTACTACATAAGTTGCAGGGAAGAGGTGGTAGGACCTGTTGTCTTCAACAACGTTGAACCAACTCCATTTGGAGAGACGGTGGTTGCCGAGTCTCCCCATCAGCAACAAAGTGGAGAAAAGCAACCAACCAGAAGGGGATATCAGAACGCAGATAAAAGAGTAACTAGTGGGGACAGTCACCACAGAGACCAAGCGATCGCGAGCTCACTCTTGGATAACAACATCAACAGTTCAAAGAACGTCAACGCGGGAGAGGAGAATTCACAGAAACATCCGAGGAATGAAGAGCAGCGATTTGTGACGAGATACCAGGGAACTGGGCAGAGTTTAGCTGGAAAGGAAGCAAACCTTTCTTCTGAGAGGACGCAGAAGACATTGGAGAGAGACGGAGACCATTCAGGCCAAACACCTGGAAATCTGTACTTGATCGAGAGTCCAAAATTACCGACAAAAGACGACTTAGCTACCATTATCGCAACTACACGAAGACGACAGCAACAGGACTACAGAGTCAGAAGCCGCGAACAAGCCAACAAGAATGTTCAACAAGCCGTGCAGGACATGTTTACAAAGTACATGGTGACAGGACACGGTTTAGCTACCATGGAACAGCAACAACCTGCTCCGGTTAACAATACCGACACAAACAGCAAGGGATCCCCGGCTATATTTCGTCCGGCCCTTAAGTTTCTCGGCATGTCTACTGAGACAAAGGCGACCAGGATCGCACATGCCATGGAAATTGCGACTAAACCTGCTTCAGAGCAGGGGATACAGTCCCAAAGCACAAGCAAACTTGGAGCCCAGTCTGGGCCCGTTGAGACAGCGAGGAAAGAGCCGTCAGCTCGACCCACACCAAAGCCGCGAGGGACCACCGGTACCGCGGTCAGTCAGAAGTACGTACTGACAGTCACGGTACCTGACGAGGACAGGGAGACACCACAGTCACAAAACAACGGCAGTTTTGAGAACGCTAGGTCTGAGACAGAAGGGTTGAAGCCAGTTGGAACAGAAGCACCATCGGCAGTGGGTCAATACCCTTCAACACCGCCAGGGGCAAATTATGCAGGAGTTGCGTCAGGTCAACAGAACAGGCAGGACGACTCAGGCGAACACCTGCGGGCAAACACGCACTCCACGGGCTTCACACAACGGCCGGCCGAGCAGTTGGATGATCCCGTCAACATGGGGAAAGTACAGGAGAAACCTAACGCGATGGGTCAGGGGATGAGAGCAGGGACTTTCAAAGCTCGGTCGCTTCTCCGGCTGTCGGGCAGACGAAGCAAATCCAGTTCCAGAGATGTCCCCAGTCATCCTAAGAGTGTGAACATGGCAATGTCAATACAAGATGCCCCGCCAACAAAGGCAAAGAGACAGGTGAGTGACAGTTAATGTAATTTTTGTAATTAATGGTGTAAGATTCATGAAAGTAGAAACTCTGTAGATATTTCAACGCTGATCGCAACGTGTTGTTCATCAACTAGTGAGGAACACACCTGTGTGGATCCGGAGTGATTAACATTGTGTAAAGTGCCCAAGAACATAGTGGAATCGAACCCGTGTCGTTTCCTCTCGTTTCTATTCCGTGTTCACTACCTGTCGACGCCACTTCTGATTGCCAGAATTATGTTCCTTTTTTTGTAACCTTTTTTTAATCTGTTGGTCTAAGACGCTTTATCAAAGATAGGTTTCATTAATACACCATTTTGTTAGTAGAACAAAACACAGCATTTTTGTTGGCAAAGTTTCAACTGCTAGAAAAGATCACTGCACGTGATACATGCCCTGAAGCAAAACTTGATCTACTCCATGTGCATAACAATGAACAGTATGTACTCGGTGTGCAACCGTGTCAGCAAACTAATCGCCTTTGCCATATCACGTTGGACCTTTTCGCCTTCTCCCTATTATGACAACACCAGTGCGTCTAGAATCTCCAAAATTTACCGACCAGAAGACAAGTCGAAACATGTCCTCGCATATGCTTCAAACTTCGGAGAATGTCGGGGGGCGGGGGGGGGTCAACATTTGAGGAACGACAGGAAGTTGTGGGGGAGGAGCATACCTGTGGGATAGGGATGGGCACGACTGTATTGTTGTATTCACAACCCTGTAACCAATGTCACAAAAGGCAAACATTCTTTTCTGACATAGTGTGACAGAAATAAAATGGGGAATGTTGAACGCCTAACACTGACTAGTTTTGTACACACTTTTTAACACAGTAGTTACTTTGGTATCATTACGATAATGTCTGTATGACTCACTTCTATGCATAAGTATGAAACTTTAGATTATTGACAGGACAATTGGCACTCATAAATAGTTAACAACACAATCCCCACACTTTCACCCACGTTTTCTTTTATATACACAGATGCATGGTATTGGGTATATGTTTGAAGAGAATGTAGATTTTATGTATCCAAGAAAACAAACTGTAAATGAATGCAGAGTAAAATGCTGTTTTTGCATTTTAGGATCCCAGAAATGGAGGAATGATGCCGGCAGACAGACGACAAACTGCGAAAACAAACTCAGGGGAAGACTCTTCTCTGGCCGTTAGGGTAGCCAGAGTGCTGCCCCAACGACGAGAAACAAGTGACGGTTCCCAACTCGATAATACAGGTAGGTTCTGACATGTAGAGAAATGAGTAAATGTTGTTGTTGTCCTTGTTGTACGGTCTAATATATCGCTAGACGTGGTCTCTTGGTGCTCGTTTTCGCATGGTTAAGTAAATGCCCCATAGCCTTCAGAGGATGTAGGGGCAGTAGACAGGTACTTTTAATCCAGCGTCCTAGGCGTAGTACTGCAAAGTGGATTCCTTCCACCATGTACACCTTTTTGCCTCACCAAACAAAGTCAGGTGCCCATTTATACTTGTGCAGAGTGAGAAACATCACGTTAAGTACCTTTCACAAGTACACAACGTCTAGCCAGGGATGCAGGAATTGAACACTGACCTATATTTTATCCATTAAACAGACAGTGGGCTAAGGGTACGTTTTATGTTCACCTTGCAATTGTATCAAATAGTTGTGCTTCTGAGTCAGCAAACCAAGTATCAGTTTAACAACATGGCCTTATATTACTCGTCAACTTTGTAAACATTGCACCTGTCGAGAAATCTAGTGTTATAACCATTATTTCTATAATCCCCCATACTAGCCCAATCCAGTCCCCTCAAGATCATCCCCACACTGTGCGGTGTTGGCCACACATGGATCACTCTAAGATGGACAGTGTCTGAAGCCGAGAACTATAAAGCTTATCAAGTTCAGTACCAGAAGTGAGTGTTGCATTCTTTTTACTTCTACCTGATCATACTCATCTTCTGAAAATATCTACTGACAAATAGATAAAACGGTATAGAATACGTGAAAACCTTACGTTTTCTGGTACTACACATAAATATTACTCATAATATGTCAGAATTGATACCTTAATATTCTATAGTAGCGACTGAATAGAATTGTGATTCATATAATTGTATGAGAGATGTCGTTATGATTTACAGGCATGGAGGTCCTATGATAGTGACACCCTTCCGGTATGGTAATACCAAGGAAACAGTTGAGAATTTATCCCCTGGAACCACCTACACAATGCAGGTAAACATTCCAAAAAGTTCATACATTTACTTTCAAAATGGCGGCGGTATTTATCATGAATTCGAAGTCCTTTTGCACAGCAGAATTTGAGAACAATAGAATCCTGTGTGATGTATCTAACACGTTGGGTTGGGTTGGGAACAAATCACCTGCTGTTTAACGTGTTTGTGATTTATTATGAGGTGTCGATAAGTGTTGCTGGCCTCGGGCAATCTGTCTATGTGCGGCAAGATTTGAATAGATAGACGGCGAAAGGAAAACAACACAATTACCAAGCCGATTAACAAGTACAGAAGAAAACTACTTTCTGCCAGTTCACATTCTATACTTCTTGTCTTTTCCTTGCATTTTTTATGCTGATGTACGACTTGAATATAGGATCTAATGTACATTCAGCAACATGTACATAGATATGAAACTGTTCTTTGTTGTAGAACCTTTAACCGTTGACCGATATTTTACATACAGGTCCGTGCGTTGGACATTGAAGGACTGGTCCACTGTAGCAACATAGTGGAAATGAAGACATCAAGTCGACGTTTGGCTGTGCCTGCTCAAGGTATGAACTATCAAAAACAATAATGGTCCAAACTTCGTAACCAAAAATATCAATGAATTCTACTTGCATATTACACTGTAATTTTGTTACAGCTGAGCATGGAATTTTGAAATTTTAGGGCTATAGCTATTGCAGATGCTGCAGAACATTGATTCTGTTTCATTCTCACCTTATCTCGTATATTCTCAACTTCATCACTATAACACCTATGGTTTCCTATCAGATGATCTCAACTAAATCTCAGTATGTTTCAACAAGTATTTATCGTTTTTGCATCTCTGTTTACATGTTTTGTTTCTCACTTTTGGTTACAGCTGAAACAGCCGCAAAGCTCCGCCAAGCGGTCCAAGAAGCGCGGGAGAACAGAGGACAAGAAGCAAAATCAAAAAAGCCCTCTAGGTGGGGGCTGAGTCACCTGACTGCCAGTTTCAGAAGGAAGAAGAAGAAGTCAGCAACCAGCGAGTCAGACACAGAGAGTAAAGCGTCGTACACTGACTCCCCGATGGGCGGCAGACGCGTCTCGGATGTACGGAGATCCTCCATCGATTCGCAGGAGTCAGAAATCTCCACGGTGTCCACCATCAGCAGAACTTCGCGGAAGTCCCAGAAGAGGGTCCACTTCAAAGAGGAGGACATCGCGAAGGCGTATGAGATCCGCGAAATGCAGGCACTCTACCCGGAACTCAGCAATGTGGAAAACGTCATTGGCGACGACCTTGCTTTACCAGAGCGCACCAAACAAGTAGATCAAAGAGACCATCGCAGAAACGAAGAAAAAGAGGGTACGGACGAGAGTAAACTACAACAACAGGCTGATGTCGACAGACGACAGCGGGTGTCATCTCCAGTCTTCATGGCCCTCATGGACCAGGGGGAGGAGTCAGAAGCGGAGACCTTCAAGAAGGTCGCCGATAACGTCAGGGGCACGATCGGAATGGCCGTCAGAAAGGTGTCAGTTGAAGTGCAAACGAATGAGGGAGGCGTGTTTCGACCTGCCGTTCAGACTTCCACCGCAAGGGGGAGTGGTGGAGATAGTGTGCTGAAGCCGTCAGACAGGTCGACGGAATGGGAAACTAACGTGCCACAAGACACAAAGGGTGAAGGATTCCGACATGTCAAACGTGAAAGGGTAGGTTGTAAATCTATCGAATGTGTGTGTGAGAAATTCTAGGAGAAAAGAAGCTGATGCTAGGAGTAAGAAGTTGATTCTATTTGGATTTGTACTGTCCAGACGAGCACTTTGCATTGTATCAGGTTAACTACATATTCTAAGAATTTAGCTAAACAGACTCCGAAGTTAATCTGTATTAGTTCTTTACATTGTTACCAACAACAAAATATCTATGTAGCCCGATTGACGCCCTGTAACCTCTCTTCAACGACCATCAGATACAAAGATGGAATTTTATGAGACTCCCTTGTTAAAATTGATCCTATTCCCATACACTATTCTATCAGACGTGGCAAGAGATCATTGAAGAAGACTACGACCCCAAGGAAGGCTGGAAGAACGTTCAGGTCGGTGACAAGATGCGCTTCATAGACCTGGAGGCTATCAAACCATACAGGAAAGTTCTCACACATGCAGGTGAGTCAACAAAAAAGGCGCTAGACCCAACAAACTCGATCCTTTGCGTAAGAATCAGATTGTTTCTTAACATGTCATTTCCACAGTCAATGTGTATTCAATGAATTTAACAAGCATGTAGGCATCTTTCTTCCTCCTGCAGTGTTTTTTTTATCTTTGTTGATTGATGTTTGTCTTTTCATTGGTGCAAATAAGTGAATGAAATTAATCTAAGTACGCTGTCTGTCATTGGTGCTGATGTCCAGGTTACTATGGGGACAAGTCCAACGCCATCGTGGTGTTCTCGTCATGCTACATGCCCAACAACAGTCTGAAAGACTACGAGTACATCATGGAAAACCTATTTCTGTGAGTACCAGATAGTCTATAATGCTTTGGGTTACAAACCGGGAATGATTTCTGGTGTACATTTGATGACCATCCTCTGTTTTTACGTATTTCAAAGGTGTAGGAACACGTAATCTCCAAGGAGATTCTGTGTGGCAAGGGGAGTCTATATTGGCCGCCTGTATCCATGCATTGGCCTTCTGTACCCATTGGCCGCCACACTGTGGGATACAGGCGGCCAACATAGGCCCCGCCCCTAGACCATTGCCCCAGAGAATCTGCTTGGAGTTTACCAAACACAATTGTACTATTAGATACATGTATGTACACATACAACTGCTTTCACTGTTCACAGTATTTTTGCATGTCTGTATCACTTCCTCCAGATACATCCTGAGTTTCCTGGACAAGGTTGTTGACGAGGAGTATAAAATCGTCTTCCTGAACTACACCAAAGAGAGGAGTAACCTTCCCTCGGTAACCTGGCTGAAGTCATGCTATGACCACATCGATGCAAAGTACGTTTCTTATCATTTGATCAAAGAAGATGCTGATACCATCCCTATATCTTCTAAAAACAATATAGTTTTGTGCACTGATTCACATGTAACATAGCCTGGGTGTCATCCATTTTGTAACGTTACAAAACGGATGACACCCACTATCATTTATATATGATATTGACAGTCACCATACATTTTCCAACAGAACTTCAATTACAAGTAATGATAGATGATTTCAATGTCCTCTGATATCAGTCCATTGTTCTTCATATTCTTGTACAGGTTTAAGAAGAAATTAAAGGGTCTGTTCATCGTCCATCCGACCATATGGCTGAAGATGCTGGTTCACGTCACCAAGCCGTTTGTCAGGTACCTCTAATTCTCTCGCTATTCAATAAAGATGCGTTTCTTTTAATCACATTTTGCTTAACCCGGCGCCATATGTCTAGATAAAAGGTATTATAGTGTCGAAAATGTCTACAATTCAAACGGCCAAAACTAGCATGGGGTCCCAATGCCAAAAAGGCTGGACTCCAGGCTAGACTAGACGAAAACAACAGTGAAATGATCTATGTATCAACGTAACATTTTTGTGTATCTCTTATTTCTAGTTCGAAGTTCTCCAAGAAGCTGCAGTTCGTGGACAACTTTAAGGACCTCCAGAAGCAGCTTCCTGTAGATCCCGAGGCCATTCCTGAAGACGTCAAGAAGTAAGTCAAGTAGTTTCATTAATTCTGTCCAAAAGACAATCCATTAATTAAGGCATCCAATTCAATCTATGCCTGCGGATGATTGATTGAATGCAAATGACAAGGGGTCTTGGACTGTATGAATGTTATCAGAATGTGCAGAATAACCCTCATTTTCCTTCACTCCCACCCATGTTTTCCTTCACTCACATCACTAGGCCACCCTACCTTATAGCTGCGATACCAGTACTTGATTGTTGAGAACTATATAGGTCTGATGCAAATACATTTACATTATTATAATTCATGGGAAGATAATGAGTTAAGTCTAGTTGCATTAAGTTTGTACCAGTTTGTATGAGTTGGATTACTAAGTCAAGTTGATGTAAACTAGCAATTCAGCCCCAGGCTGCAAAGAGCTTTACAAATGCCAAAAAAACTATATTAATCTTACATATTCCTCTGTAACTTCTACAGGTTTGAAGAAGAGTTGGTGGGAAGTAGTAGCGCTAACAAAGGAGGAACCTTCGCCGCCCTGAAGGCCGCCCTGGGCAGAGAAGTCCAGACAGGCAGCGTACCGGAAAACGCGTTCTGTGCACCATATAACAAAGGACTTTCTTCTAACATGTGGGAGGGTTTTCCTACACTTCGGTTGTAACATGTTTTAATCTTCTACTCCAATGCAACTGTGTTGTGAAGCGTAGCAGATAGGCTGTAGCTGTCCATAACATGCACAACAAATTATACCTCACCTTGGCTAGTTCATGATATGCTTTAGACTAGTCCAATCGTTACAGTGTGTAGTTATGTCGGTCGGCATTGTGGTTTGTACGAAATATTTACAATGTAACGTTACATGCCTGTTAAATAAGACAACTAGTTTCTTGTAATAATATAACTTAACGTTTAATAAGCTGTTATTGATTTGGTGGCGGTGATTATGTTTGACGTTATGTTGTAAATTTAACAATTACAGATATTAAGGGTTATTGGGGATTATGTTGCTTGTTACATTGCTGATATTGGTGCAAATCTTATATCATCCTACGATGTCCATGTGTGAATATGGTGCTAGAAAAAATATTTGTTGCTGTACATATACAGCCCAAAAAGGGCTTGGTGAGTGGGATAACATTCATGTTTCAAGACGATGCCTTTCTTGTCATGGTCATATGCAAATAACAAGGCTAATAATATCATACATGCTGAATGTACATGCTAACTAGACTCTGTGGATTGCAAAAATGTTTATGTCAATGTATGCATTGCTTGTACGTGTACAATTGTTTGCACTGTGACAGATTTCAACTCAAGTAAAATACAAATTTTCTGAAACGTAGAATTCTAATCTAGTAAAGTTGTAAGTGGCAGAACACATATGAAGTGTTTGTTTTCGGATCATATTGGTCTGTTTCATAGATGGAATTCAAAATTATAATACTGAAAAATTCTATTGCATTTTGCCTTCTTTTTTCCCCATTACCGAGTCAAATAGCCTCCTCCCTACTATGTTAAATGAACCATCCCTACTTTAGTTAGTCTACTTTGTTGAGACCAGAAGTGGTTGGACCGGTCTTCTGGACTTGTTGCTAGGTAACCGTCAATTCGAATCAGACTAAGACAGGATATGGTCCAACCGTTAATTTGCATAACTAATACCTTTGGTAGGTGTCCAAATTTCTAACCTTTGACGCATACCTTTTTTAATGATGTTACATAGGTGTGCATGAATAATTTCTCGTGGGGGTGGTCTGGGAGATGAAATCATAACTAACTGAGAATATTGACCTATGATTGATGGTACAAAAAATTACATTACTGTTCGTAATGATATGGTGCTTATCATAGTTATAGTCAGCCCAATGCACTTGTGAGAAAGAGTAATATGGAAGTTGAGCACATTGTGGACTATGCCTATGATTGCACAACTGTGTGGCCCATGAGCTAAGGAAACGGAGATGGGCGCAGCCCTACATTGTATACGCGTATACGTACCGGTATATGATGATCATATACGTACCGGTATATGATGACTGAACCTGTAACGGAAAATGATTCACATCCCTACATTGTACCAATGAGCTTTAAAGAGATTTAAAGCTTTGTACCGGCACATGTGTACATGATGGCTGAACCTGTAATTATGAACGGAAATGCAGCGTTAATGTTTTGTGAAGCACATGTACAGTTTGAAACACTGTTAAATGTTAATAATAAAAAAATCAAAGGTGCTAACATCATGTCATCATGCAGCAATTCTAAGTTAATTATCTCCAAACTGTAAGTTAATCTAGTAATGTTAATATATGAATGCTATTGATTCTATTTGCATGTGTTTCTCTCACTGCCTTAGACCTTAGTTCCTCCTGCAACTAGTTGCATCGTTCGACTTGCAGACTCACAGGGCACACTTAGTGGGGTAATTGGGTAATCAGGGAACTCTGGGAGAGGCTTTGGTTCAAAGGTCAACCTCCGCATGGGGTCAAGCTGATCTTGACCTCTGACAGGATTCGAACTGCAGAATCTGAATTTCATGAGTTGCGAGGTAAAATTTTCGCTCTGCTGACAGCAATTCCTCCTATATATAACGATCCTATCAATGGTATTACACTGTATGTATGAAAAGTTACCTAAAACATGTAACTGTTATACGATGTAATTCCACAAGCTAAAACAGCCAGTCAACCGAAAAACACGTGAATATTTTCGCTCTGCTAACAGCTATTATAACGATTCTATCAATGGAATTACACTGTATGTATCAAAAGCTATCTACAACATGTATACGATGTAATTCCACAAGATATAAACATTTATAAAACCTCATTTTACCTCGCAACTCATGAAATTCAGATTCGGCAGTTCGAATCCTGACGGAGGTCAAGATCAGCTTGACCCCATGCCGAGTTGACCTTTGAACCAGAGCCTCTCCCAGAATTCCCTGATTACCCAATTACCCCACTAAGTGTGCCCTGTGAGTCAGATGATCTCATAATCCGCCCCTGTTGAATTATTCAAAAGCCCGTTCGCGGCTGGGAAAGCGAAGACTTGTAGCGCCTGGGGCGACTGGTCCTACCTGTTTTTGTGCAGTGAAGGGGGGTGGGCGGCATATTTGTCGGTTTACTCAACGTATAACAGCTGTCATCGCCAAACAACTCACGTCGACTGTCTCTACTTTTCGGACAGCCAACGGAAACCATCGGAGTTGTACGCCATGAGTCGTAGGTAAAACCTGAGGAAAAAGTCGTCTGATTTCTGACAGGAAATTTGACACCAATTGTCGTCTGACAGAAGGTGTAGCCAATAACATCGCGAGTCGACAACTCACTTTCTCTGGGAGGGAACTTTCATTAACAGAGACAACTCCAGCAGGCCTGCGAGAAATTCGAAAGGTAAGACACATTCTGTACTTTTTTAAGCATTTTGATAATTTCTGGGTCACCAAAGCAGGCTTTTATTCCTGCTCTGAGCATTCCTTGTCACCAGAACGCCAGCTCCAGGAGAACGGTTGGGGTGTATTGTCTGTTCGTTTGGGTTTGAATTTCATGCTTGTCTGGTTTGCGACAAGGCATTGTGAACCGTCTTTTTCTCTCACAAATAAATCTATTTTTGCCTTCGCTCATTCTCGACAAAGATGAAAAGTCTTGTTCAGACAATTTTAGATGTTGTCGGTGAAGTCAGTTGACAAAACATCAAAGTACTTTCATTAATACGCACCATTGACTACATGAATATAAGGTATACGACATAGTCAGAATATGTTGTAATACATGCTGTGCATACATACATGTAGTATCTTTTCAAGCTACATTGCGTTTACTATGAGTGCTTAGCCGTGCGTGTATCTATGCATGTGTCTGCACTGTAAGCTGTTAAACCTAGCCTTAGAAACACAGACAGAAAGACGTATTGTGTGGGTCGTAGCAGTTAAGAAGGTTGACTGTCTGACTCCTTGAGCCAAGATTGCCCAACGACTTTTGTGTTCATTCACGATCCGTTAAAAACTGCTATGGGGCGATTACGTGCGAAGAATACAGCTTATTCATAGTTAAACGTGGACGAGGCAGGGACCGCCAATTCTCACAATGGAAAAGAACAGTCACAACTGTCTGTGTATATGTACTGGATACCTGTTGGTGGGTTATTACTAGTATTGTCCAGCGGGCGAAAGTATCTGTCATTTAAAACAGGTGTCGACCATTTCTATCTATCAGTTAATCTACCTAGTATCATCTATCAATTAGTTTATCTATCAATCTACATACATCTACATCTATCCATCTATCTATCTATCTATCTATCTATCTATCTATCTATCTATCTATCTATCTATCTATCTATCTATCTATCTATCTAAGCAGTCAAATCTTCTATAAGGGGAATTGAAGGCACTGATCAATTTACTACTAGAAGACTCAAGTCGATGTTCTATAGATTATGAAAGAATGAGTTCTAATCAAATCTTGGTACTGTATACCAAAATAAAGCACAATACAGTTGTGAGAAACAACGTGTCCTTCAAATTGTGGTGTCGATAGAAACTAGCGTCCTTCAGCTTTAATTAGACTGTTCCACCGAGTTAACTGCGACGGTTCAAGGCTGTAGCAACGGTCTGACTCGATTTGAATGTACGGAAATCAACTGAAATTACCCGGTCACCATTAGCTACAGTAACGCTGATACATTATTTATACCCAAATGCGAGTTTGGACGAAAGGTGATGGAGTCAAGAAACGTTGCAGTCTATCTTTCCAGGTTGGGGAAACATAATCTTTTACCTACTGACGTTACTACATTTATTACTTGATTGTGGTTTAGAGAACTTTTAAAAGTACATTTTGGAAGAGACATAATGAGTATTCCTACGTGAATTGTAGTGTATTATTTAGGCCTATTTCCTGTTTGCCTTTATTCCTACGTGTAATTATAAGTGTAGGCGAATTCGGACACCTTAACGTATTCTACTGGGTTGAAATGTTGGAATTTCCCGACCAGAAGCCCGGCCTTGCTGCCAGGTGTTCTCACAACACATTGTTCACCTGCCTGGCATTGTTTTCCCCGGGTGATGACCTTGGAATGCTACCTTCTGCAAGAAGGATGCTTGTTAGGTTACAAATACACACATTGCAGGATGCCTAGAGGGTCTGACACTTATGTAAGGTAAGCAGTGGACGTCAGTAGAAGTACTCTCCCAAAGACAGTCTGCCTGGATCTTCACACATGTAAGTTCATAAGTTTAAAAGTTCAAATTTGTGAGCGTGTCCTTGTTTGTGCTAGTTTTAGACTGTTTTTCTTAATCTCCAAGCAGATCTTTTGGTGGGGGTAAGACATCAAATTGGCCAGTCTGTAACCATTTCCCCACCCCGCAAGTGGGTGGTGGTAGCAACAAGAAAGGGCCATATATAAGAAGCAAACGATCTTCCACCATCAACCTCTGCTTAGAGAGTATGTTTTTCTAACACTTCAAGGCACTGGCTGTGTGGGTATGGAAAATTATCTTATTCCTCCCACATAACGCCATAACCACTATGGACAAACCGACACTTTTATCTTCTCAGTGTATGTGAAATGATCCCAGCCAAATCTGTGTGAATGGGTCTAAGAGGTAGAGTAGTACAGCCAAAAGTTTCAACTGTTTCATTCAGTATTTGTGTGAATGACCTTTCCCTGCATTGTTTACCGGGCTTTTGTGTGGGTGGTTCCCCAAATGGAGGACGCCATGTTGTTCTGTTCTTGTTCCCAGTTCAGTGGTCAAGTACAATACAAGGGTCGACCCCTCCTGCCCTCTCGTTCCCACGACTTTTGGATCGACTTTTATGTTTTCTGCTTGCTATCAATCATATGTATTCTTCACATGAAGGCTATGTGAAATTTCACACAAGCTTGTAGCACTATAGCGTAACACTAAATTTTAAATAACTAAACTAAGGTGTAGAGTGAGGTTTGATTTGGTAAGGTGTGTTGTCCTATAATAAAAAAAAGGTGATCGTTTTGGCACACAATGTACGATTGTTAGCCAACTTTTCCACACCTGTGCCGCCCCTTTTTTCGTCACAATTACCGAGTGTAAAACGCAATCTTGTCAACCGTATATAATCAAATTGTAATCAACACCACCAATCCCTTTCTTCTTAGCCGACAAGTGGCAACAACGGCAATAACTACTAGTATTGTTTTCCCTTCCGATTTAGAAACAGCCTGTAACTTTACAACAGTACACCTTTCAGTCACATATCATCTCTTTTCAGGGCTCGAAATTCATTTTGAGAAAAGGTGCACTGGTGCACCCAACCTAAAAATTAGGTACACAAATTTTTTTTGGATGCACCACATGAAACTTAACCTAATTGCAGGTCTTACTGCTCCTCTTCTGAGCTTAAATCTAAAATGAGAGCTAACTTCAAAATCTTAAACAAGTACTGCAACAAAGATTTTATTATTTCTGATACGTACAGACCAAGAATTTCCGGTATACTAGTACTACAATACATTTCTAATGTTAAAAATTCCTACAAAAATATTTGGGTGCACCAGTGTACCCACAGAAAAATATTAGGTGCACAACTTCAAATTAAAGGAATGATTCTTGTTATAGATAACACTTCACTAATACTTTGAACGGTAGACATTCTTTCTCTTATGTTTGTACCATACCTGTGCCACTGGTGCACCCAACCTAAAAATTAGGTGCACAAAGATTTTTTGGGGTGCACCATATGAAACTTAACCTAATTGCAGGTCTTACTGCTCCTCTTCTGAGCTTAAATCTAAAATGAGAGCTAACTTCAAAATCTTAAACTAGTACTACAACAAAGATTTTATTATTTCTGATACGTAGAGACCAATAATTTCCGGTATACTACAATACATTTCTGATGTTAAAAATTCCTACAAAAATATTTGGGTGCACCAGTGCACCCACAGAAAAAAATTAGGTGCACAACTCCAATTTTGTGCACATGCACCCAGTATTTCGAGCTCTGCTTTTCATATCAATTACTCAAGTTTCTCTTATGACAAATTAAAGGAATGGTTGTTGTTATAGAAAAATGTCACTTAATACTTTTATAGAAAAATGTCACTTAATACTTTGAACGGTCGACATTTTTCGCTTATGTTTGTACCATACTTGTGTGATTGTTCATGTTTAGACATGTTTAACTCGGATGCATGTTCCCCCTGGACTCCATTCAAACATTCCACTAAAAAAAGTACGTTATGTCTGTTGTTTGCTTCTTCTTGATTGATGTTCCTTTTCACAGCTATATATATCTGTATTTCCTTGGGGCATTTCTCCATTTGTTTTAGGTACAACAGGTGGCTACATTATTTTGCGATTTAGATAAGATTGAGGATGAGTATCATTTTGTAGCCGATTGTACATTATATAGTAATGAAAGAGATTCCCTTTATTCTTATATAATAGATAAGTTCCCCAGCTTTGGACATTTAAATGAATTAGAAAAATTGATATTTCATATGAAACTTGACAAACCATGTATCATTAGTTCTGTATGCTCGTGCGTCAAGAAGCGAGAAGTTGAACATGTAAATATTAGATCACATTAGTATGTATAGTTTAAGTGTCATTGCTGTATCCTTTTCCTTGTCTATTCATGACCTGTACTTAGCTTGTTAGAGCACAAACGTACAATAAAGGTCTTTCATTCATTATAAAGCCAAGCGAAAAAAAAACGAATTACTTGATGACAAATTCGAAACTGCTGTGTACATATATATTGGCGTCAATCGGTACATGTACTAAGCGATATCATTTTAAATTCTAAACAAAATCGTCCATACAAATCACGGCATCGTCAGCCTCAATCCACAGAAGTAGGTCAGACAGTGTGAATAATTCAGTAGTTTGGACAGTACAAGGAAAACCTATTTACGCACCGGGGACCGTCTCAAACTTTCGTCAGCGATGTGCCCCGTCATCCCTGTACATGTACATGTACATTTTACTCTCCAAGCAGAGGTTGATGGGGGGGAAGATATTGCCCGTTTTTCTTGTCCCTACCCCCACCAACCTCCATGTATTGGTCCCTCTCTGGCCAATGGATACTGCCTGGCCAATTTTATACAGTCATACTTTTTGCCACCCTGGGATCTGCTTTGAGATTAGTACATTTTAGCCTGGATGCCAGACCCAAAGCACACTGGACACAAAATATCTCAGTGTGCAGTTTCTAAGTACATTTAGTCTATGTTTTAAACTCTCTCACCTCCCTGGTACTGAGTGGATAGTCGACGTCGATCCCCTCCCCATCTCTCTCAAGTCAGGCATTAGTCGAGAGGGCCGCTAGGAGCGCTTTTTTTTAGTTCGACTACCAGGCTGAGTAGGGCTGTGATAAGTGTTGCCCTGTGCTTTATCCTTAGCCTATAAATGACCATGTATTGTTATTCTACTGGGCACAGCGACAGCCAAATTTTATTTGAATGGCTTTGAGAATGGTGAGAATGTCTTGTCTGCTTGGATATGTTGTTCCAGATACTAGTTCTATGTTCTTTTCCTATGATTACCAAGGGCAGTATGTTACCATCCATATGTAGGGCTATATTTGTGGGACTATATATTATATATATTATACTATTAAGGTCAAGGCTAGAATTGTGTAAACACCTCAACCCACCCACTGACAGTTCCTCCGCATTATCTGCAGGCGGATGAGTCAGTAAAGAAGTCTGGGTGTCATCCTGGTTAGTTTACATCCACTCCGATAGATATGTTTAATTGGTGTGAAAGATACTTTTGAGACCAAGCAGACGTTGGGATGAAAACTTATAACTATTTATTATTTGTTAGCTTCATGATTGATTTTTGGTGTTTGTTTGTTTTGTTATATCTAGGATTTCTTTATTTATTATTAGTTATTATTTGTTAGCTTCATGATTGATATTTGGTAAGTTTCAAGGAGGAGGATGTTGTACAAGCCTTGCAGGCTTCTTTGAAGACGTGAAAATTTGGAACTTAAAAATTTGAAAAATTGAATTTATGAAAGTAGTCGAAACTGACCTAACACTTAACAATTTGACATGCGATACATAATTTCAATTAGAGATTAAAATTTCTATTCGTTTACTCGGCAACTAATACATTAACGCCATGAAGCAATATAACCATGATGAATCAGCTGTAACTACTTTATAACTATTCATTTATTTATTTATTGCTTCGGCTGGTACATCACAGCCAGGGCAGCCCAACTAGCTTGCCCTGGCCATGGGGAAAAAGTGTGGTTAAATACATACAAGTGACATAAATTCTTAAAAACGTAATATTTACATAGGGTGAACAAATTTAGGTCATTATTATATGCAAATTATATACAATACAATTACATACTGTAAGATTGGTGAAAATAGAATATGTGCTGTCTTATACAGAAAACTGGTCTCCAAGGGAGAGCCATACTTTAGCTTTGAATGACGCTAGGGATGAAGCTGTCTGTGTGTCCTGTGGAAGAGAGTTCCACAGTTGGGCGGACCTGTAGAAGAAGTTTTTTGTGTGTGTGTTCTGACACTTTTGGGGGCTTGCAAAGAAAGGTTGTAACTATTTCACGGAGTCCTGACAAATCCAAACTATGGAAGGCCATGTCGAACGGTAAACAACTGAAGAATCTTAACCCCCAAGGTCACCCTACGGGTCCCCCCATGTTTGGCGTTCGACCTCGCAGATTCTATCTACAACGTGCTCTGTGTGGTTTGGGGGAACCTTTGGGGGTTTGGGGGAACCTTGTTTAAGGCCACAGCAAGTAATTTTTATGGATGACAAAAAAACGCTCTGATTTCATCTTTTGTTTCTTACTTTGATGCAGTGATATGTGATGCTGGCTGTGTATATGTGATGTTCCCACTGAATCAAAACCATTTGTACAATGATTGAGTCAAAATTGTAAAATGTAGGGACCTTGTTTTTTTCGGCCCGCATTGTGTTTTTTTTTCGCCCGCTCGCATTAAATTTGGAGTCTGTGGAGGATGTCATCCATAACATTTACTTGCTGTGGCCTATATAAGTTATTCCGGAGTCCGACTGTTCCCACTTGAATCCCAGGGCCTACACAGGCCAGTTCCTCGGCTCCAGGGCCAACATAAATCCAACATGCCCCGAAGGAAATGATACAGTTAGACCCTGACTCTGAGCTTAGCGTGCCATGGGCCAGGCATCCAGGCTAGGACCTTCCAGTCAAAGATTTGAGAATGAATGGAGTCCGTTGCGTGACTCGCTGAACTCTCCCACATAATTAGCGAGACGACACTGTGGCCTAAACCGTTGTTCACCCCTCTTGTCACGTGATTGGCATCCAAGATGGCGGGGGCCACCAACTTGCAGTGGGTCCTCTCTGCGTTATTTCCAGATCCCCGCCTGTGTGAGTATGCGCCGCGTCCTATTTTTGTGCTGGCAACTCTTGCACTGCATCGTTCAACGTATCCGTGTTAGCTTTAGTCTTGTGCCGTGCCCACATAACGCCCTACGAAGCATAATGTCCTTTGGGTCTACTTGGGTCTACTGAATCAGACTTGTAGTCATTTTTAACGGGCGCCACATGTTGATACCGGTTCTTTCCCGTATATTTAGTATCTATAATCTCTCTTTGTGTATCTAAAGCCATGTACAGGGCAGTACTGATATAGTTTTGATAGCAGACTGTTGGGTGTACTGTATGTACCCAAGAATTCCAGGACGGAGACCCTTAAATGTACTTTGGCAGATGTCAGTTTTTATAGACCATCTCAGGTCAGATTCGCGGTCACAGGGGCTCCAAACGACCTTGGATCAGCTGGCATAAAATTCATCTTGATCCAGATGGTGTTAGTTTGTTGCCCGTCGTGCCATATCCAGGGCACGGGGGTGGATCATTCTTCGGGAACTCAAGCCGAACCCGCCCGACACGGGTCACATCGCTTACGTGATCCGTTATCGAGTCCCTTCCTCTCAGTCAGTGATTACAAGATTCCACGGATATTTCTGTTTTATCTACACCCTACTGTGGTCTATTAAACGCCCTTCTGTCACAAATCCTCCGCAAAAATCGTGCCAAATGCCACCCTATGTGAACCACCCACACATTTCAAACATAACGTTTGCTTGAAAAGTCTACGTTTGTGAGAGTTTTCCTGTAATTTCAGTATCTTGGACAAGCAGGATGAGTCACTAATCGTTTGTGTTGGCATACAGCGGTATCATTGTACCGATAAACCGACAGAGACTTTTGAATGACTAGACAGTACAGAAGCCTCCATAGCATACCAAAAACTGGGGTTTTTGGGGGTCTTCAGGGTCTTTTGGAGCTTTTATGTGCTATTTTCTGATTGCATATAGACAACATAGTCGGCCTGGTTGAATTACCCCTGTTTTTAGAACAACTGGGCTAATCAGAAAACAGCCGAAGACCATCAAACCCCAGTTAACGTTCTATAAGCCTGCTACAGAGGCTAGGATGAGTCACTTGTGGTTGTGTTGGCATACAGCGGTATCGTTGTACTGATAAACCGGCAGTGCTTTGAATGACTAGACAGTTGGGCCTTGGTGACGTTTTTCAACAGTTGTAACGACAGATTTGGTCAGGTCAAATACGGGAAGCGGATAATCAGGGCGGCGCTAATGTTTGTACAGGGATGTAAGGGACGTCCGGAGTGTTTGAAAAGTCTCTGTCTTTGAGTGACGGAATGGGATCATCTTCCTGGCGCCTATCAGTGTACATCTGAGGGGGTGGGGGGTTAGGTGATAGAAGAAACGTTAGTTGTGATAACAAACCCACAGACCCCTTGATTCTGTTTTATGTTTCCAGAGTTTGTTTTAGTCGTCGTTAAGTGTTTGAAATTCTCTGTCCTTGAGTGACGGAATGGGATCATCTTCCTGGCACCTATCAGTGTACGTCTGAGGGGGGG